TATATATACACACATAGATATCATATTTTTAAAACACAATCACGTAGATACAGGGAAGCGATATTTCTTTTTGCAATTGCACGTATTATATACTGAAGATCAAAAGAAAGGTACCACTTTTTGATTGAGTATAAAATCCAGAATTTTGAGTCTTTACCCTTTTTCATTCACGTGAGTAGTGTATTATAATTAAGTACTCTGAAAAGTAGGTCATGTTATGAAAATAACATTTTAGTGCTTCAATATTATGTGTTCACAGCACCCACATGAACCCCCCCCCACCCCCCCAGAAAATTCGGATTCGAGACCACATTGCAGATTATTTTATTCTCAACTTATTAAAAAGGAAGTTACGGTGTGTGTTTACATACAACGGCATCGGTATTTGATCAAAAATATCAAGCCATCGGCATGTTCACCGCTGCGCTTGCTAGGACAATCAACGTCAAAGGAAGGATAATCAGCCTACCGAGATAACGGTACTTTGTGACTTGGTGTATTCAAAACCGACTCAGAACTGGTCTCCCAATGGTAACATGTCAGCTCAAGACCGATATATCAGGACGGTGCACCAAAGAAATCGTTTCAGGACAGCAGCTCACACTGCAAGACAATATCCCGGAATTTTACTCGAAAGCCAGCAACGGTACGTCACAGACTGAAGTAATTCAAGATTGTAGCTAGGAATCCTAGTAGTATGCCTGCATACAGACTGCGTTTACAGCCAAGACACCACCAGGCTAGGATGAACTGAGCACAGCTACACCATCGATGGACTTAGAATCCTAGAAAATGGAACACCGTCACCTTGTCGGACGATTCCCAATTCCAATTCGAACGCCACGATAGGAGTATAGCAGTGTACGCGAGACCACGTGGGCACAATCTGCTATTTCTTCAACAACACATTCAACTCATGCATTCCAACAGAACAATGCGCCCGCGCATTGTGCAGTCCTTTCAGAATTTTTTATATATTTTAGCCTAAATCCAGAATAACGTCGCTGTAATGGACCCACGGCCTTCCCTTTCATCAAATCTGAGGCCAACTGAGCACCTGTGGATCATTGTTGATTATTGTGTTGCTTGTGACGAGAATCCCTCTCCCAAAAGAATTAATTTACAGCTGCATCAAGCCTTCACCAATGCCTAAAACAACGAGTTTTTTTTCCTGGCAGACTTGTATACTCTATGCGCAGGAAAAGCATTGATGTGCTGAATGCACATGGAGATCACTCGGCGTACTGATGTGTAACTTTTATATTTTAGCCCTGTGGTCAAATTTCAGTCTTAAAAGAGTTATTTTATGTCATATATTTCATATTTCAATTTGGGGGTTTAAAAAAATCATCATTTTTAAAACGGAAAGATCAAACATATTAATTATAGGGTGGTACATCTACTTAAAAAAAAATATTTTTTTATAGGCAGTCTACAAGCAAGGTAATTGCAGCGAACAGACCTTTCAAGAACTGACGACAGAACTTGTTTTGTCAAATCCCACAATTTCAAAGATTGTATTATACAAGATGGTTCACCTTTATAATATTTCAAACACCAAACATTTTTTAGAGGGTGAACCATCTTGTATCTTGCTGTCAGCTCTAGCACCGGTACTTCAGCTTCGTCTATCTTCCAGATACCGAGACATCGTCACCGTTCGTCTTCCTTACAAATTAATGCTTCTCCACATTGACTTTTAGTTTACGTTAATCCTGTCTCCTTGCTGAAAAAAAAACAAATAAGAAAAACATGCACATAAACGGGAAGGAACGATTTAACAGTGTAGAATCAAATGAAAACAGATTAATAACTCGCTGACTATTATTACACTGACAAGAGGGTGAAAGATTTTAAAAAAACAGGGAAGGCAGTTTGGGGAAGGGGGGTGGTCTGATGGTAAGGTAACTTATGAGTTGAAGTTGCGCAGCTCTTTTATCACAAACTTTGATTCAAGTCTGACTTTTTCTCAAGAGCTAAGATTAGACCCATTTCTGTTTGGGTTTTTTAAACCCACTATGTTTAGAGTTTAGGCCTTCGGTTAAACCTTGAAATATTTTTAACAAAGAAATAGTGAAGCAATTAGACTAACTTAACTTAACTGTTCTTTATCGTTTTTGATACGTGACATTTTCATTACACGTACAACACATTGTCTCGAGAAAATGCTGACTAAATATAATTGATTATAAAGGACAATTGTTTTAATTTATATCTTACCTATATCTGATCTGATGCGAAAACATGTTGCATGCAATGACTGTGGTCCTGCACTGTGTCCGAGATCTCACCTGGGAATCTTTAAACACTCACAAGGGGGGAAGGGTTGCGCAGTGCTTGATCAATAAGGAAGAACACGACGACACCAAAAAGGAACCCACAGTAGAAGGTGATTCTGTCAGTCTGCAACTGTGTATCTGCACAGAATTGGGTTCTACATTACAGCTTGTTTTGCTGCGAAAGGCCTTCTAGACATAATTGTAATAATAGGCAGTTTTGATGGTCAGAGTACAGATAATGCGAGGCATGAATTTATAAACGCACACAATGTGCAAGCCTCGGCAGTCGGCAGAGCGATACATGTCGACCTTCAAGCGTGACATTCCTCTGCTGGGGGGGTCTTGCTTCCTATTTGTAAGATCATTATCATCATCACCACCACAACCATCATCATCATCATCCTCATCACCACCACCACCACCACCATCATCATCATCATCATCATCATCATCATCATCATCATCATCATCATCATCATCATCATCATCATCGTCGTCATCATCATCATCATCATCATCATCATCATCATCATCATCATCATCATCATCATCATCATCATCATCACAAATGATATTCACACACGCACACATACACATGATACACAAGAAAGGCTTGCAAGTGAAACCACACATCACGCTACAAACGAACGAACAAACAAACAAAATTCAAATCAAGTTTACTGGTTTGAGTGTGTGTTTGTATGTGTGTGTGTGTGTGTGTGTGTTTGTATATGTGTGTGTGTGTGTGTGTGTGTGTGTGTGTGT